CAACTGCCATAAGACATGGCCAAACTGTAAACAAGATAAGGGAATGGGATAATGCAAATTGTAGCTAAGGGACACAATAAACATATGTCAATAATAATAATAATAATAATATAAAATCAGATAGAAATTGGACTTACAAAGTGAAATTGGATGACTATGGCAAAAGAGAACAACAGTGGTGTTCTTGGAGGCATTCCAAAAAAAGTCAAAAACACTGGAAAAGCCTTAATTTGGAAAGAACGTCAATCCACATGCTGCAGAAGGCAGCACTTCTCGGAACTGTTCACATTCTGCAAAAATACCTCTAATATTCTAGGCCCTTGGGAAGAGCCCATTATTCAGAGATGAATCCCAGATACTTGGACCTAATATGTGCATGTTCTGTGTTGTTATGTACAAATAAATTTATATGAAATCATACAGTTGGAAGAGACTGCAAGGGCCACCCAGTCCAGCCCACTGCCATGCGGAAAAACACAATCAAAATGCTCCTGGCAAAGTTTGCAGTGGACGGGAACTGTCTTTCTGCTCCTCACTATTAATTAGCATTTGTTCCTATCTGTTTATTGTATTCTGTTTTGAACTGCCAAGTTAATGTAACTTCTAAGTGTCTTGTATTACATTTGGAGTGTGTTAATCATCTTTTGATTTAATCATTTTCATATGTATCTAGTGAATAATGCCATGTAAGCTGGAATATAGTTATCTGGGGAAATTGATCTCTTTAGTTTTTTGGCAATTCTATAGTACTTAATGCTTTGCAGTGCTGTCATTTTAAGGCCCTCACTCTACATATCTTGATCTTTCTTTCTTTTCTCTGATTCAAAGTGACCAACATGTAGAGCCTGCTAAAAGGCAATCAGTCTGGAGTCAGAGGGTCCCAGCAGCTTCATTGCTTTGATTATGTTGACTTGATTGAAAGGTTGCGCTGGATGTGACATCCAGCTGACCATGTCAACTTCCAGGTGTGGATCCAAAGAGTCAGCTCCTCATCAGAGTCAGAGAAGCAAAGCCGACAGGCCAGCCAGTGCACACCAGCTTCAACCCACCATCTAGCTGCTAGCACCGCCTGCTTAGTTCTGTGGTGACCTTTTTCTCTTCATTGTCTTGTCAAAATCAGCAATTTGAAACTGACAATAATGAAGGAAGAAAAGGACGCAGGCAGAGTCAAAGCCCCACATTAAATAGAATTAGCCATTTCAACAGGCCTGCAGTCTCCAGAACCAACTCACACTGCCTCGTATGAAGAATAGAGGGGTCACAAGCCATGAACCCAGCTGTTCTCTTTGCTCTTCTAGTCAGTATTTGAAAAAAAAGGATAAGTTTTCTGCTTTGCACTTAAACCTGCTAATGGGAATGAATGACACATACTGATTACTTCTGTAGAGAGTTGTGACAACTCAGCTAAGAAAAATAAATAGAAAGGTTTTGAAGGAAAATCAAATAAAAGAGAAATAAAGAACTTTCACATGATGGAACTCACATTTCTGTAAACGGTTGGTGCTTGCTGCTGTTCTTACAACTTTTTTAAAATATATGTGCAGATTACAATAATAATCTTTGTCACTAAACTTTTAAAAGAAAATATTTGTTACATAATAAATGCCCCAGTGGTGCAGTGGGTTAAACCGCTGAGCTGCTGAGCTTGTTGACCGAAAGGTTGCAGGTTCGAATCCGGGGAGCGGCATGAGCTTCCTCTATCAGCCCCAGCTTCTGCCAACCACCAGTTGGAAAACATACAAATGTGGGTAGATCAATAGCAGGAAGGTAACGGTGCTCCTTGCAGTCATGCCAGCCACATGACCTTGGAGGTGTCTACGGCTCTTCGGCTTAGAAATGGAGATGAGCACCAACCCCCAGAGGCGGACACGACAGGACTTCATGTCAGGGGACAATCTTTATCCTTTTACCTACCATACATTCTCATTTCACTAAGTATTTTGCAAGGAAGACAAAATAAGGAAGTCCAAGATATATTTTGACAGTTTTGGTCATACAATCATAGAGAAATAAAGTCAAAAGGTTGGATGGTGTTTCAGGGGCCATCAAGTCCACTCCCGAATCATTGCAGGAGCACCACTAACGACCTTGTTACATGGCTGCCGGAGTTGCTCCTCTTCATTGGGGGGCATTGGGAAACCAGCACCCAATGTCCTGCATTGCCTGACTCCTCTTCCAGTTGATCCCATGGGGGGGGGGGGGAGTGTGGAGCACGCCAGGACCTTGTGACTTCCCGCCATGGAGTCCAATGGCAACACAGGAAGCCTCCTGTGTTGGCGTGGTGGCAGCATGTGCTTGCTTTGCCCTCCTTCACTCATGGAGCCGCGCTGGCATCATATGATGGGAGATGGTAGGCTCAGTGGGTGACCTGTGTTAAGTCAGCGCATGCCAATGAATTTAACCTTTTGTGATGAGGTCATAAAGCTCTCCGGCAGGTAGCTCTCCAGTCTCTTTTTTGAAGAAGAGACCCACCAATTGCTGATCCACTATTGCTATTAAGAGATCCTTTCTAAAATCTACTCACCTGTTGACTTCAAACCTTTACTCCTGGATTAGCAGAGAACAGTCCTGCCCCTTCCTTTCTATAACAGCCATTGAGATATTTCCAGAGAACAATCATTTCCCCACTCTGTGTTCTCATCCTGAACATGCCCAACTCCGTCAATGATTCCTCATATATTTTGTTTTTCATAGCTCTAATCATCCATGTTGCCCTTCTCTAAATGTGCTCGAAGTTGTCTGTATCCTCCTTAAAACCTTTATATTCAGACAGGCTTTTAAAGATCAAGGCTCTTAAGATCAACGCAGGGGTTGCTGTGGTTTTTAACTTGGATATGTTTTAATGGTTTTTAACTGGGAATTTTTAAATACTGTTTTATTTAATCCTGTTTTAACGTTTGCATGTCTGTATATTTTAAATTGTATGTTAATCCATTTTGAGCCTCCTGTAAGAGGGATGAGCAGAGTATATATAAATATAAGAAGAAGGAGAAGGAGACGAAGGAGAGGTGCCTAGACCGGAACATAGTAGTCCAGGTGAGTCGTGATCAGTGCAGAATATAGTAGGACTATTGCTTTCCTTGACTCGGAAAGGACTATTCAACTTCATGGCATCATCATACTGTTGCATCTTGTTCAATTTATGATCAAGAATAATTCCAACGTCCATTTTGCATGTAGTAATGCTGATTTATATATACCCCATTTAAAATAATTATTTTATTATTGCTAAAACACTAAAACTTCCTTACATCAAACAAGTGCATATCCTAAACTAACTCTCTGTTTTGTACAGAAAATTAACAGAAAGAGGTAAAAAGTACATAACATTTAATATATATTATATTGACATGATTGCTGAGCCACAGCACCCACTCCCAAAAAGTGTAAACAACAAACAGACTCCAAGCACGAAATATATTTTTTCTTTATTTTTCAAACATTTTCCATGGTTTCAAAGTTTTGAAAGTCAAATCTAGAGGCTCTGGAAGGGCCTAGCAGCAGCTGTACCCTAAAACTCTATGAAATCTAACCCTTTAATAAATGCATCAAATTGATATTTTATGTAAGATTTTCTCTCATTCCTTGTTGTCTCACTCCGCCCCCCAGTTCTTAACTATGAGTTGTTTATAAGTGAGATGTCTGAAACTCGGGAACTGCCTATAATCCATTCTAATATTTTTATTACGGTCACGCAATATAGTTTCCTGGGTTGTCTCTTTTCTCTCTCTTTTTTCTTTTTATTTATTTATTTCTCTCTTTTTTGCATTTTTTGAAGAGAGGGACAATGTTTGCCCTTCTCCAGTCCTCATCACTATACCCACAATTTTTGTATGGCTATGGCTATTCACATAGATAACTTGCCTTTAAAAGTCTATTCCTAGACATGTCATTCAGTGCAAGTGAGGAAGTTAACTTGCCATCGTCTATGAAAGCTTATGCTATCAACTTTGTACTCTCAATCTCTAAGGTGCTGCAAGATCCTTTTGTATTATCTGGGTCTGGGTTTGTATATTCTCTTTAAGAAATATACAAACCATCATCAAATTGTTCTTTTTTGAGAGTCCTTCAACTTTCCAAATTGATCATCACTTCTCCACAATGGACAACATTTTCCTTGATTGTTTCCAACCTTTCATTCTTCCATTCAATGTTATTTGGTTTTGATGCAGCAAGTTATGTCAACATCTTCTCACAGTACTCTTCTTTCATAACTATCCTAATCACTTTACTTGTCTCCACTTCTTTTTTCACACTACTCCAAGTCTCAAATCAATTGTTGATTCCTTCTGAAATCAGACCTAGATGTTTTATTTCCTTGAATGTTGCCCTAATTTCAATTTTCAGATTTTTTTTTTAAAAAAATCTTTCTTTATTTTGGATCTATCTGATTCATTTCCAACTTCAGCAGATCTAGTTCTTCCAAAATCACTTGGCTCAGGACAATCAATTTAGTTGGCAGAGCCATAAAAATTATTCTGCCTGTAATCATTTTGACAGCTGTCACTAAACTATTCTGACACCTGTCAAATACAGCAAACCAAAAATAAATTCTCTTGTAATTTATCTTTTTCATCACTGGGTGTCACTATCTCTATCAGCCAACAATCTGCCTCACTTCAGTCAGTACTCTAATCAAAAAAGTAAGTTCAATTTGTTATCAGCTCAAGCAAAGCTCACTTCCTTCCCAGATATGTCCTGCTATTATCAAAAGAGAAGGTAACTAAAATTTCTTTCCTACTTGGAGTTTGAGATTTTTTTCAAGTTTTTTCGATAAATTGAATTTATTTATATTATTTGTCGTGTCAGGGCAACCAGTCAATTGAATGATAATGAAGAAAATGATTATCAATTTTCCTTTTTTTAATTGAATTCAGTTGCACTCATTTTATCTTTTAAAAATACACTGAGAGATTATTTACTTGTTATTTTAATTGTAGATGTGTTGGTGCTGGAACCTTCCTGGTGATCCCATCAGCTGGAATGTTTTCTTAAGTTCCATTCTCAAAGTTTTAAATGGACCAGTAGAAAGTTGGAGGCACTCCACTTAACTGTTTGGTAGGGCAGGTATGATGTGTTTCTCAGACCCCTCCATTCTACCTGCATTTTGGTGACACTATCACATGACCTAAAATGCCAAGAATGGGGAATGGATGCATGAGTGTGATTCTCTGAAGCCACTTCCAGACACTTCCAGATTCAAATATGAATCTTGTCATTTGTGTATTTTTACATTGCTTTCTGGCATCACAACTGAGTATTTAGTAGTACAATATACTATAATATAGAATGCATTTTCACTTTGCTGTTCAGAATCTAAACATATTTAAAACTCTTGGTGTATTTGAATACAGAAAATAGGTTTAGTGAATGGGGCAAGGAGCTGTTTCTTGCTTCCATAGGAGAAGCTGCAGCTGGATAGAGAAGAGCCCATTGTCTTCAGTAAAGCAATTGATACAGACATGCAAAACAGAGATTTCAAACTGATTGTTGACCAAGAGCTAAATTGTTCCCCTAAAACCGGTGCTTTTTCTTGTCTCCCTTTCCTATAGGATAGAGACGATGATGATGGATTACCAAGAAAAAGGGCCTAAAGTGGATGTATCTTATGGAGAAAGGCGTGTCGGTGGATTCATGGCAACTGAGGTATTTTGATTTTATTCTTCACCTTACCCAACCATCAGTATTACCAGTTACTGAAATATCAACAGACTCACAAAAAATTATAACTGGAAAGGACCGCAGGGCCACCTAGTCCAACCGCACAACTAAAGCATTCCTGAGAGATTACCATCCGACTTCTGTTTACAAATCACCAAAGATGCAGAATCCATATTCCACTGTCAATGTGCTCTTACAGTAAGAAAGTTGTTGCAAAATTATGTTTAATAAAAAAACACAAATAAAGAAAAGCAACAGTACTTATACATATTTACACATGAACATACTTAAACAATAATTACATAACCAACTGCACATTGCTTCTGGTGTGAGAAAATTGGCCATCTGCAAGGACGTTGGCCAGGGGACTCCCGGATATTTTGATGTTTTATCATCCTTGTGGGAGGCTTCTCTCATGTCCCCGCATGGGGAGCTGGGGCTGACGGAGGAAGCTCATCCACGCTCTCCCTGGATTCGAACTTTCAACCTGTCGGTCTTCAGTCCTGCAGCACAAGGGTTTAACCCACTGCGCCACTGGGGGCTCTAAACTGATCAATATATATACTATAAGCTATGTGTTGTTTTAAACGAGGATTTCCTGCTTCTCTTTTGACAGTTCCCATATGATTTATTTTTTTTATCCAACAAGTTGTTTACTTCTGCTGGTTTTGACATTAACAAATAAACATCTCAGTTTATATCTCCGAACTTCTACATAAAGTATTTTTCTTTCCCTCAAAAAAATATTGCTAACAGGATTTCCATTCTTCTAAAAACGTGTCCGGTGACTTATCCTTCAACAACATTATTAACTTGTCCATTTCTATTAATTTCCGCATCTTCACTGTCCAATCTTCTATAGTTGGTGTTTTGATCTTTTTTTCCACCGTAGAGCATATGGGATTCTTGCTGCTGTTAAAATGTACTGCAGTATTCTCTCATGCTTTTTTTTTAAAAAAGCATTCAACAGTATTAGTAGTATAATGGTACACAGAAAGAGAAAAAGGAGTAAGTGAATCCATAGAGTAAGTGAAGTAGTACACAGGCAAAATAGAAATACACAATATGCCTGTCTTCTGAACAGCTCTCCCCACCACTCACATCTTGTGAATATTCATATAGCAGCCCTAACTGAAGGAGGCGGGCCATCAATACAGGATCATCAATAATTGAAACTATGGGAGTGAAACCTGTGAGTGAGAAATAGTATTTAAGGAAAAAATGTTCCATTATCTTTTTTTTTAATTGTGCAGGTGGCAGTACATTTATTCAGCTTGTGTGGACTGCACCTCAACTTTAAAAAAATCAAAATATAAGCTATGGAGGTCTTACGCAGCTTCTTTTAAAAGCTAACACAGTAATCCCTCTACTTTTGCGGGTTTCATGCTTGTGGCTTTGATTATTCGTGAGCTTGTGTTGTGACCCCTGCCTCTTGAAATTAGTGCTGCCATGTAAACATTCAACAGCAGCCTTGTCTCAGGAGTGGGTGGGTGTTTGGTAGACATTTTGGATCCTTAGGCTAAATGGTGTGGGCATGCATGGGACTGGTTTCTCTTCCTCTTCCTGTTTGCCTCAAGTTTCTATTCCCTTCCTTTGTCTAGGCAAGACAGAGGCATTCCTGGTACTCAGGAAGAGGAAAAGGAGCTAGAATTCAGAGGGTAAATGAAGTGGGCTTAAGCCTATGAAAGCTCATGCAAAAATAAAAACCAGTTAGTCTTAAAGATACTGTTACATTTCCCTCTCCCACGCTTCCTTTATCTTTCATATACAGTTATACAATGCATTATTAGCAGTGTGTTACTATACACTAATATTAGTACTTCAATGCATTTACTATATAGTAGGGCTGTGCGCATATTCATTTTCTAAGGATTCATCTGATTCGGTGTTTTTGTTTACCGTTTCAACCATAAGGGCATGGAAGGTGTAAGGGTTTTTTTTCTGGCCACAACAAATAACAGTTTCACCTGTATTTGAATTTCCAAAAGCAACCTTGTGGGGTGTAGAGCATCAGCCATTGCAAGCACGGGGTTTCCTGCGGCCCTTGCTATCTAAGCCAATTGCTGAGATACAACTGCATCCTCTCTTTCGTATAAAACTCCACATCACCCCCAGATCTCTCTCTCTCTCTCTCCTCTATAAACTATATTATATTCCACTTTTATTCCTGTTGTTCATTCATTCAGTCGTTACCGACTCTTCGTGACCTCATGGACCAGCCCACGCCAGAGCTCCCTGGCGGCCGTCACCACCCCAGCTCCTTCAAGGTCAATCCAGTCACTTCAAGGATATCATCCATCCATCTTGCCCTTGGTCGGCCCCTCTTCCTTTTTCCTTCCATTTTCCCCAGCATCATTGTCTTCTCTAAGCTTTCCTTTCTTCTCATGATGTGGCCAAAGTACTTCATCTTGGCCTCTAATATCCTTCCCTCCAATGAGCAGTCGGGCTTTATTTCCTGAAGTATGGACTGGTTGGATCTTCTGGCAGTCCAAGGCACTCTCAGAACTTTCCTCCAACACCACAGTTCAAAAGCATCTATCTTCCTTCGCTCAGCCTTCCTTATGGTCCAGCTCTCACATCCGTAGGTGACTATGGGGAATACCATTGCTTTAACTATGCGGATCTTCGTTGCCAGTGTGATGTCTCTACTCTTCACTATTTTATCGAGATTGGACATTGCTCTCCTCCCAAGAAGTAAGCATCTCCTGATTTCCTGGCTGCAGTCTGCGTCTGCAATGATCTTTGCACAATTCCATCATCCCCACCCTGGGTCTGGAATGCCAACAATTCCTGGAGATTGCTCTCCATCCACAGAGCTTTCCCCACTTGGCCGGGAGGGGATTTTCAGCCATATCATCAGAGCCCAGCCAACCAGAAATAGAAGAGGGATGATTAAAACTGGAACAATGGACCTTGTTGTATAAATTTTTGTGCAGAGCACATGCCCTCTTATGCTTGTAACTTTTGGAGTAGGAGCTCACAAGCATCATGTCTTGGCTAAAATGAAATAAATGCCTCTGTCCTATGTCTGCATTTCACTGGTGAGATTTTTTTAAATCTGGAACTTTGTTTATTAATTATGGTTGGCATAAATGCTCACCAGGTCATTCCCTCTCAGTTTATTGTTGTCTAAATTCCATATCAAAAGCAGTAGATGGCATCATGGTCAAGAAACATTGCAGGTCCCATCATTACGGAGTAAAGCTCATGGCAGGATTTTGATATTCTGACTGAGAGAGAGAAGGCTTGTGATTACACTTGATTCTGTTGTGTGCCTAGGTTTTTGGTCAGAGAAAGGAAGATGAACAACTGCATTAAGTCTTGGGGAAGTTGCATAACAGTGGGAAGAAATACTGTCCAATGAATCCAGTCATTTCAGGTACAGCGGCAGCTTAAACTCAGCTGGATCAGAACAATCTTTTTTAAATAACAGCCAGAAGCCCAATGTGGAAACTAGATGAATTGCCATTCCTACAATTAACAATTGTTCAAATTGTGTTTTAAAAATAAATTTATTTAGTTATTGTGTCAGAAGCAAATTGAGAATACCATCATAATGTATTTTTTAAAACCAAAAACAAAGTTAAAAACTTGGCATTATCCTAAATTTCTTTTGACCAGAAGCTGGCCATTTCAAGTGCCTGTTGTGTCGTTGTAAGAAAGTCCTCCATTGTGCATGTGACAGGGCTCAGACTGCTTTATAATAGGTGGTCTGTGGTTTGCTCTTCTCCACACTCGCATGTTACGGACACCACTTTGTAGCCCCATTTCTTAAGATTGGTTCTGCATCTCGTGGTGCCAGAGCGCAGTCTGTTCAGCACCTTCCAAGTTCCCCAGCCTTCTGTGTGCCCAAGAGGGAATTTCTCATCCGGTATCAGCCACTGATTGAGGTTCTGGCTTATAGCCTGCCACTTTTGGACTCTTGCTTGCTTAGGTGTTCCTGTGAGTATCTCTGTAGATCATAGGAAGCTATTTTTTATTTAAGACTAGCCGTCTCCTGCCACACATTGCTGTGGCCCAGGCTCTGTATATGTGTTGTGTGTGTGTGTGTATATATATATATATGTGTGTGTGTGTATTTGTGTATATGTGTGTTTGCATATATATGTGGTTTTGCACATGCGTTGCAATTTTTTTTTGCTTGTTAAGTCTCTTTTGCTGTGTTTTTCAGTGTTTTTATGAGTAATGGTCACTCGCTGGCCTGATATGTGTATTGTGTCCAAATTTGGTGTCAATTCATCCAGTGGTTTTTAAGTTATGTTAATCCCACAAACTAACATTACATTTTTATTTATATGGATGTCGGTGTGCTGGCTGATATCCAAACAAATAGATAGCAAGGGTAACTGTATCAGGACACTAATATGGAGTGAAAAGTTTAATATCCCCACTACCCTTCTTATTCCATGTTCCCAGACCCAAATCATTCAAGCAATTCCTGATTGTATGGATCACATCTCTTCTCATTTGGTCCTGAGAAGCCAGTAAGCAGAGCATGAAAACAACAGCATGCTCATATGGTTTGATATCAGCATTTATTATTCAGAAGTATCATGATTAATAATTGCTGGTTTACCTGTCCTCTGTAAATGTGTCTAATTTTCTATGAAGTTCTGAGTCACATTTAACTATCTTTTCTGCCTTTAAATGCTACACAGTTCCTGCAGGGCTTCTGATCTTGTCTGTGTCTTCAACTATTTGATAAAATGGCAGTTATCTGGATGCAATAGATTACTCACTGGGGAATCTTTAGGAGGCCTCACTGTTCTCTTTCAGTGCCTTCCAAACTAGGCTTTCATTGCCATGACAGAAATGACTTGCTTGCCTTCCAGCTTGATAATTTGCTTAATATCAGTGGGATTATCCTAATGCTTCCTGATTTATTCAGACCATGATTTCTGGGTGTTCCAGTCTACGCATACATCACATCAATGATATCACAGATACTTGTTCTCCTTGATCCTGAGCTACAGATGACTGTTGTT